GGGGTAAGTATTTTACAGCGCTCGCACCTGAATTTTCAGATGGTACGAAATTTTAAATTATGCCCGGGTTGAGGCCTAAGCCTGCTCTTATCGATTTTTAAACCACCGGGGGATCTTTAACGTGCGCAACTTGCACACCGGACCTCCGAGATTTGTTTCCCTAGTCGAGAAGGCAATGTGTAGATCTTTCATACCAGAAGATCAGGGGTGTGGCTGAAAGACAGCAGTAAGAAAGAGCCGGGAGCAGCAGTAGAAAGGCTGCAGAAAGAGTCAAGAGCCCAGAGGAGGGGTAAAGGATGTGAGGGGGTGGGGGCAGAAAGTGGAGACGAAAGAACATTGCTGGAGAGCAGGAAAATAGGTGGAGGGAGACAATTTTAGAAAAGAAAATGTTTCCGTCTCTACCTGGACTCGAACCCGGGAGCTTTGAATGAGAGGTGAACACGTTAACCTGTTGGCCACGAGAGCCCCCGCTGCATGTATGTCTCAATCGTGTGACAGCGACCACAAGGAATTTGAAAAAAACAACAACCCCAAAAGTTCTTCTTCTTTTTTAATTTTTTTCTTTGCTCTCCGTATCTTTCAACAAACGGGCCAGTCTTCTCCAACTGTAAAACGCAATTTTCCTAATCACGTGTTTCACTTGGAAAAGTAAAATGATATTGATGGCCTTCTTCTCTTTCTCTGTCCATCTAGATGTCATCCATCTGAAGGCAGGTTTTGTTTGTCTTCACGTTTCTCATGGTTTCTTCAGTGCACTTCCGTTGTGCATTCCTGACAGGAATATTTCTAGTTGTTTCGTCAGCGCCCTACTTGCTCATTTCTTATGGTGCAAGGACAGTTTTCCAAAAAGGTATTTCGTCTAAATTAATTAACTGCTGACAATCAAAAGCCTGTACCTTTTTTTTAGAAGTTTGTTTGCGTAAGTTTTCCTGTTTCCCTTCCATAGAGTAATAGACTTTTTCACGACAGCTGAAAATCCTTATCTTAGTTGGTTTTTAAAATTAGTTTTTGTTTTTGGAGTTTTTGCGTTGTTGTTTTTATTTGCACTCAAAGCTTCCTGGTTTCCGTGCGTGTCTGAGTTATATAGTGGACCCCCTTTGTGCTCTGACGTGTCCTGTTGGGGTCTCACTGTGTGTGTCTGTTCCTCCGGCCAGTTTGTGAGACCTTCTAAGTGAGTGAAGAAATCAGCCATCTCTTGCTGGGTCTAGCTGGCGCTGATCTGGGCATCTTGTCGCCGGGGCTGATTCCTAGTGGCTTGTTCGTGTCTGGGTGTACCTTACGGTTTGTTGTCGGTGAGATAGATAGATAGATAGATAGATAGATAGATAGATAGATAGATAGATAGATAGATAGATAGATAGATAGATAGATAGATAGATAGATATAGTTGCTGCTCAGAGGTAGCCTCTTGGCAATCTGTACAGACGGTTGTGAGTGAATTTCAATTTTTACAGTTATATTAGACAGCCTCGCTGTAAGTTCCCCGGGTACTGAGAAGAAAAAATTTAGAGTGAGTAAATTACATAAGTGAGTTATTACATAACGATATGCGAGTTTTTTTTTATAAGAATGCTTACAAGACCTTTCACTTTGAGTTGAGAGCATCCACAAAAATATAAGTATC